TGTGTGTGTTTTGAGTGCTTTTTTAAAGCCTTTTCAGGCTTTATGTGGAAATTCTTGCCAAACATTTGTGTGCCACGTGTACTCAGAAGTTTCCTGTGTCAGAGCTGCTAAGTCCCTGATACCCAGAAGACACTTCCCAAATTACCACACAGAGGCTTATATTAATTATAAATCCTCCACCAAAAGTTCAGGCTTATTACTAACTAGCTCTTACACCTTAAATTAACCTATATTCCTTATTTAGGCCTTACCACCTGGCAGTACCTTTATGGCAGGTTCATCTCCTGCTCCTACTGCCTCTGGCTGGAGAATCCTGACTCCACCCTTCTCCTTCCCATCATCCTTAGTTTGGTAGCCCCACCTATACTTTCTGGCTCCTGACCAATCAGCATTTTATTATACCAATTTGAGTAACAAATCTTTACAGTGTACAAGAGGATTATTCCACAGCACGTGTCTGCCACAAGCTGGATTTGTGCCAAGTATGGTCAAAAGTTGAGCTTTAGTGGGGACTTGGGCTGCCGGCAACTTCAGGGGAGCAGCCACAGCAACCACCAAGAATTCAGAACTGGGCTTTTTGGTACCTTTTCTGTTGGGACCCAGCATTATGCTGACATTGCCTCCTGACAATGGGTGGGACACACATATCTGCATTCAGGCAGATACTTAGGCAGCTCAAAGGGCCCTGTGTTGTGTGGCCACATCATGGCTAGCCCCCATTCCCGCTCTCTCTCTCTCTCTCTCTCTCTCTCTCTCTCTCTCCTCTCTCTTGCTCTCCCTTCTCTGCCACTCTTCTCCACTTCTCTCTTTCTGCTCCTGGTGAAGGGACCAGCTTCCCTTTTGGCAGCCATAATGGCAGAACACATGCTTCTATGACCTTGTCCTAGACACTAGAAAGTCAGATGCCTGCCTTGTGACAAGGAACCAATCGGAAGTTAGTTAGTCACTAGAAAGTCAGATGCCTGCCTCGTGACAAGGAACCAATCAGAAGTTAGCTAGTGGCGCTATGCTTTACGACCCTGGGTGTGCTTTACGGACAAGTGCACAGCAAGCGCACAGCAATGACGTAGAGAGCATAGCAACCACCCTGGGAGGGCCTATGGGCCATAACAACCAGTTGACCAATCAACAAAGGGCAAGCCCTCCAAGCCTGGAGGCACACCAATCCTGAGTCTGTGCGTATCCCTAGACACTCCCCTTACGCTGTCCTATAAGATCTCTTGGGAGTCCCTAGGAGCCGTTTTTTGCGAGCCATCCGCCATGGCGGATGGGTGAAATACCCGAGCTAACATGGAGTTAGCTCGTTAAATTACAATAAAGCCTCGTGCAGTTTGCAGCAAGCTCTCGAATCCGCCTGGTGATTGGGGTGACTGCGAACGTGACCTGGGACCCCGGATACTTGAGTTTTCGGGGGGGTCTAACACTGGTTGGCCAACATCCCCTTTCTCTTCTTCCCTTTCCCTTCAATAAACTCCACATGACTCATGGTTCGTGTCTCATTGCAGCAAAAAACATTTTCTTTCTTGGAGATTCTCTGAGAGGATAGGGTTTGGAGAGAGAGAAATGAGACTTTCAGGAGTTAGCTGGAGGTTCCATCCAAACGGAGGTCTCTGGGGTCGAGGATTATTTTAAAGTGTGTGACTTGTTTATGCTGTATTTGTTTAACTCTGTGAAGCTGTGCTACTATACCCGACTAAAACACCTAGTGGTCCTAATAAAGAGCTCAATAGCCAATAACGAGGCAGGAGCAAGGATAGGCAAGGCTGGCAGGCAGCTAGGATAAATAGAAGGAGAAATGGAGAAGAGAGCAAGAGAACAAGGAGAGGAGGACATCAGGGGTCAACCAGTCACGGAATAAGGGTGAAAGTAAGATATAAAGAAATAGAGAAAGATAAAAGCCCAGTGGCAAAAGATGGAGGGGTTAATTTAAGAAAACCTGGCTATTTAAAGCCAATTTAAGGCCAGGTGTTCATAACTAAGAATAAGCCTCCATGGGTGAGTTATTTGGGAACTGGGCGGTGGGACCCCCAAAAAGGCCAAAAGAGTAAGAACAAAACCCTCACAGCAATAGGCCTCCTCAGATGAGTGCTTGCTGATTTCTTCTTTCTGTCTGGGCTGTTCACCTCAGTAGTCAGAAGAAATGAGAGCATATCCCTGGGCTTTGGAACTTCTTCAAGGTGTGTACCCCAAGGGGAAGTGGCTCTTTGGTCCTCAAGGACTGGAGGAAAGGGTCCCCCAGATGGGGTTGAGGATGTAATCTCAATGAAGCCTCTGAGCTGCTGAGCAAAGATGAAGGCTACTACCCACATTAAGGCCAATTCAGCAAGCATTATTTACTATGTGTAGGAATGACCCTCCACAGCAGGACTGGAGAGAGCAGTGTGGGCTGACTTTTCCCTTCTTTTATAGGGAAAAGGTACAAACTGGGGGTTGTCAAAGGAATGTGGCGACGAACTAAGGTCTTATAAGCAAGAAATTTACAGAAGCAGATAGCTGATAAGATTATTTAACAGATCATCTTGGCAGAACATCTCAAGATATCTCAAGATTTCCTTGGTAGAACACCTTATCTTATCAGGGGAGAGCTCAGGACACATTCAAAGTGTGAATCAAACTCCACAGGGAAGCATGTCAAATTTGAGAAATATATTAAAGCATGATCAAACTTAAGTTTTGCAGTAAACAGAAACAAACTTATTCTGACCTTGTAACACAATGGCTTCCAACCCTAACATGGAGTCAGACTGGCCCATCATTGGCTTCATCCCAAAGCGGCACAAAGAGTTCAATGTTTGCAAATCAATAAGTGTAATATAACCACGTGATTATCTCAATATACCCAGTAAAGGCCTTTGATAAAATCTAACATTGCTTCATGATTAAAAACTCAGAAGATACTAAGAAAGAAGGGAACACTTCTCAACAAAATGATACAAGACAAACCTGTAGATTGCACCATGCTAAGTGAAGAAAGACTTGTATTTACACTAAGTCTGTACAGATCAAAGATCTTAATATAAGACCTGAGGCATGGTGGCACATGCCTTTAATCCCAGAACTGGAGGCAGAAGCAGATGGATATCTGTGTGTTCAAGGCCAGCCTGGTCTACAAAGTGAGTTCTTGGACAACCAGGCTGTTACACAGAGAAACCCTATCTTGAAAAGAAAAAAAGGAGAGAGAAGGAAGGGAGGGAGGGAGGAAGGGAAACTTGAGACTCTGAAACTGTGAAAGGGGAAAGTAGAACAAATAATTTAAGACATAGGCACAGGTTGGGACTTTCTACATAGGACTCTGGTCACTCGGGAAGTAAGGTCAACGAATAACTGGTACCTCTCAGAATTAAAGTGCTTTTGCACAGTAAAGGAAACAGTGGTGGAGTGAAGAGACGGCACACAGAATATGAGAAGGTCTTTGCTTGGTGTGTATCTGGCCAAAGATTAATATCTAGAATATATAAAGAACTCAAAAGCCTAAACAACATGAAATCCAACAACCCAATCAATGCGTTGGGTAACAACATGGACCTAAAATTCTCAAAAGATGAAATACAAATGGCCAACAAACATGATGTTTACCTCCACCTACACTGAGACTCCATCTCACCCCAGTCACAGTGATGGTCACTAAGGAAATGAACAGAGGCTGCAGGGATGGCTCAGCAGTTAGAAGCATTGGCCACTGTTACAAGTTCAGTTCCCAGTGCCTACATGGAGACTGGAGACTGGCAACTGTCTCTAATTCCAGTTCCAGGGACTCTGGCGCCCTCTTCTGGCTTCCACAGGCACCAGGCATGCACATGGTGCACATACATGCATGCATGCAGGCAAAACACACACTTCCTTGGAAAACAAGTAAGAGCAGAAAGAATCCATAGCCAGGGCTGGTGGGGTTATGAACTACTCCAGTCACTACTGACACCTATATGGAATGTGGTGGTTTGACTGAAAATGGCCCCCATAGGCTCATAGGGGGTCACTGGGAGTGGGTTTTGAAGTGTCAAGTGCTGAAGCCAGGCCAGGGACAGTCTCTACCTGCAGTCTGACAATCCCTATGTAAAACTCTCGGCTCCTCCCCAGCACCATGTCTGCTGGCAGGTCGCCATATCCCACCATGATGATAATGGACTACACCTCTGAACTGTAAGCCTGCCCCAATTAAATGTTTCCCTTTATAGGAGCTGTGGCTGTGTCTCTTTACTGCAATAAAACCCTAACTATGACAGAAGGTTTCTCAAAAAGTGAAAAATCAGTCTATCCTATTACTCTGCTATTGCAGTCAGTCCTGGCAGTGTACCCACAGAACTGAAAATGACTGTAGAGACACTTGCACACCAGAGCTGACCCAGAGCTGACTCAGGCACCGTTCACGGCACTAAGTCATGAGACATCCAAAGATGGAGGGATGGTCACACACACATACAATGGAATTTTCCAACTATAAAGAAAAGCAGGGTTTTGTTGTTTACAGGAAAATGGGTGCAACTGGAGGTAATCCAATTAAACAGCAAATTAAGCTTGAGAAAGACAAACACCACATGAATTCTCCCATTTATGGATCCAAGATTTAATAGAGATAAATGTAAGCATGTGCAACATGGGAGCAGAAAGAAGGGGAGCAAGAGGAAGAGAGAGAACTATCGGTGGGGCTAGAGAAGGCATTGGGGCTGTAACAGGGAAAGTGTTCAACATGCGGTAGATATTAATACAATTCTTTTATTAAAATGTAAACAAAGCAGTGCATGCTGATGTCCTCTAAAGTACTTTACAGGGGCTGCCCTGGGTCCTGGAAGCTGCCATTCTGACCTGCTGCAACAATGATGACTTTCGAGTACCTGATGTGTGAGCCTGCAATGACTTAAAAATGTTTCCTGCCATTTATGGAAAAACCTAGCCAAGAACTGGTCAGCAGTTTTTCTTTCATACAGGCAAAGAGCGGCCATCGGGCCCCCCTCCCCGACTCATTCCTTACTGCTCATTCCCCACTAGCTGTAAAGACTTACTTCATTTGCAGAGAAATGTTGTAAACTCCAGGATGAAAAGAACAATGGTCAGGGCAGATCCCATTTCTGGAAGCAGGATGGAATTCCTGGGAAAGTTAAGAGAAGAAAGGCAGGTGTGAAATGAAAGATCAGACCTAATCACGTGACCAGCTGGACAGTTCTTAGCGGCCAGGTAAGCAGCTGCCAGGAGCCTCAAGAACTGTTTGGCCAAGTCCCAGCTTCCCTTCTCCAGCATTTAGGTTTGTGCAACCATGACCTTTTAAATGCCCTGCAAGAGAAAGTGCTAGGCTTAGAAGTGTCCCTGGGGTCTCTATAATCTGGTTTCGCCCTTCTCCCTTGTTTTAACTGTCTACCAACACGTTCCCCATTATGACTGTTACAAATTACCCAATTTCTCAAACAATTATCAACTTTATATGGAGAAACAAAAGACCCAGGATAGCCAAAACAACCCTGTACAATAAAGGAACTTCTGGAGGCATCACCATGCCTGACTTCAAGCTCTATTACAGAGCTATAATCCTGAAAACAGCTTGGTATTGGCACAAAAATAGACAGGTAGACCAATGGAATAAAGTTGAAAACCCTGATATTATCCCACACACCTACGAACACCTGATTTTTTGACAAACAATCCAAATTTATATGCTGGAACAAAGAGAACATCTCCAACAAATGGTGCTGGCATAACTAGATTCGGACATGTAGAAGACTGCAGATAGACCCAAGCCTATCGCCATGCACAAAACTTAAGTCAAAATTGATAAAAAAAAACCTCAACATAAACCCAGCCACACTAACCCTATTAGAAGACAAAGTGGGAAATACCCTTGAATTAATTGGTACAGGAGACTGCTTCCTGAACATTAACAGTAGCACAGACACTGAGGTCAATAATTGATAAATGGGACCTCCTGAAACTGAGAAGCTTCTGTAAGGCAAAGGACACAGTCAGAAAGGCAAAACAGCA